TTGGCTTGATAGTCTCAATCGCCCCGATCATCCCCCTTCGCGCTACATCGCCCACTCGAATTTCCTGGTGCCATGCGGAATACTATGGGTTTAGGGGGGCAGGCTTTAGGGTCTAGGATAATCTGAGGGTGGGGGTCGATCAAGTAGCTGCGACAATAAAACCCAAACTGGGGTCCGGGCGGCCAAGTGGCGGAGTGTCTTGAAACAACAGCGAATACAACCAACAACACAGGGATATCATGGCGCCTATTTATATAGCATGGCGCAGAAACCAAAGGGCAAGTCGCACCAGAGAATCTGGAAAAGACGATGTAAACTGGGCATGAATTGGGGTTTATACTGAAATCGCAACTGCGCTGAGCTTCGCCGGGCAAAGAACAAGCCACAGAACGCAATGTTCCACTGCCAAGGCCTTCAAAGTTTTCGTCTCCGAACTGTTGCTTTAAGTAGATTATCGGCATTCCACCTGCCTTTATTCAAGGGTGTTCAATGCTGATGGCCTGAACCTGCTAGTGTACTGCTGCCATGCCGATAGCGGCAACTTCGTCTCCGTCCTTTGCTCGAGATTAAATACTTCCCTGGCAACTTCGGCATGTGCCTGCCCAAGACGTGAACGAAACGCTAAAGCTAGGAACAAAGTTGGAACCAAGGCTTGTCATGCTGTGGGGACTGCGATGGCACGGCGGATACAAAATCCATATATTTGGCATCATTTGTTGTGTCAGCTCCTGCTTGAAATTTGCCACGTTCTGGCTCCTGCTGACTGTCTGAGGCTGCCACGCTCAGCACCGCCCACGCTGCATGGAATCTGGGGACATTGATCTGGGGTGCGCAGCTCATTCGTTCAGGGACACTGCCGCAATAATTCAGAATCAAATGGAATGGACAATTGAATGGAAACCGGGGTTTATATTGAAGTTATACAGGTCTACATACGGATATTCTGCCCAACATCAATTCTGCCATGCGGATGCTCCAAATTCAGTGAGGAAGGAGGGCTTCGCTTGGCTGACTGCAGGACCGACCGCCTCCGTGTGGCTGATGGATTTCCGTCCCAGCCTGGGCATTTAGGGTTTGGGGTTACAGTCCCCCTTAAGTAGATACAATATGGCTTTGGGTATAATGTAATAAGATCCCCATATACCCCATATTCTATCTACTTAAGGGGGCCATACCCTAAACCCTAAACCCTAGATAGTAGTTTCCATTTTCTTTTCCATTATCCCAATATAACCCCAATGTAACCCCTATGTTTTTAGGTTTCAGGGAGCTGAGACATGTTGACTACACCCCAAGACCCTGAACCCCAAACCCCAAACCCTACACCCCAAGACCCTGAACCCTAAACCCTAAACTCCAAACCCTACACAGGCCCAGAAGTGGCATGCCCCGGACCATCCTTGGCCTCCTCCATCTCCAGTGTGCCCGCGGCGAGGCAGACGAGACTAGGGTTGATCTTGGGGTGTAGGGTTTGGGGTTTAGGGTTTAGGGTCTTGGGGTGTAGGGTTTAGGGTTTAGGGCTTGTGGTTTGGGAGGAAGTATGATAAGGAACTTAGGGACAATACATCAATAAATACAGAATGAAATGGAGAAGAACATTGGAAATGACATGGAGGCTGGGGTTCAAGGTGAAGCAGGCTTTTTAGGGTGACATAGGGAAATTATCCTCAACATATCAAATTACATTAGGGCTAAGCACGGCCCATAAGGGGGTATACAAAGAGGAGTCAGGCAGGGAGGTTCACAATGATCAACTACCGTAGATTGAGTATGGGGGGATCTTACTATGATATTGGGCAACTCCATATTCTATTTACTTAAGGGGATAAGATTTGGGGGTTTAAGGTTTGGGGCTTAGAGAACCCTAGACCGTGTTCGTGTTTTGATCTTCTGGCAACCCATAGTCGTGGCAGGAGCAATTAAGAATTAGTGTTGGGGACCCTTGTATTGGGGTTACAATCGAGTAATATTGGGATAACGGAAAATACAATGGAAATTACCGTTTAGGGTTTAGGGTAAGATTGGCAGCATCAGAGGTGTCAATGCTGCCGCATGAATTTGCACCTGCCACATGGAGCGTGCCTTCCAGTGTTGATACCCAGCGAGAACGTGTCCAACAAGAACTGAACATACAGGGTGTGGTGAACATGTTGTCTGCTTGAAGAGCTATTTTCCCGTTGTCTGAAGTCTGCAAACCTTGGATATTCCGAGCTGCAGTTACGAAATGGTAATATCCCACCAACATAGCCCCCAATCTGCAATAATCCTTATGATGGGGACCCCAGAAAAAGGGACTCAAAATGTTGCTTGCTACCGGCAGGATCTCTTCTAGGCAAGGTCCCCCGCCAAACTCTAGACCCTAAACCCCACAGGTTCAGGGTTAAAGGTTTAGGATTTCTGGGATTCTTCTGCTCACCACGTAAGTGCGAAACCCAAATCCACCTCCCCGGAGAACGGGCAGGGTTTAGGGTTTTAGGTTTAGCATCCTCAAGAAGAGTTGCTTCTGAAAAGCTGTAGTCCGAATGTGCGGAGCAGGATTATTTACCCCTTTACATTCCTTAATACCGCTTAAACCTGAACCCCTAGCCCTATATCAATAGATAGACAACTGCATGTCATATATGCATATATACGTATTTGTTTGTTCATACCCCTATATATTATATCCCTAGATACCCCTATATACCCGAGTACAGAAGCCATGAGGGCTTATGTCCGGGGGAAACAGGGGATCAGTGGACTAAAGGGGTATGTAGGAATATGTACTATGTAGGTGTATGGGCTTTAGGGTTTAGGGCGGGTTTATGGGGGTAGTATAGGGGGTATATCGTGATGAGTCATCCTGGGATGCAACTTTGTGTCTTTCTTCCATACCTGTCAGCCTTCTTTTGGGCTGAGGTCACTCAGAGCGTCCTTGCCCTCTTAATTAGGTGCGAGTGGTTGCCTTCCTTCCTCAGTGACTGTCAGCAGTTTTGTTGATGTCCTGCAGATTGTTTTCCCTCCACTTGTGGTGTGGGTGGTGGTCTTGCTTCAAAGATTGGCATCATTCTCTGTTGCTGAAATCCTGCTGATCTTTCTGAGCCTCCCCTGTGGCATGGATTGTTTTGCTCCTCCCACAACTGTCCTCATAGGCAATTGACTGTCACCTTGCAGCACCTTGAGCTGCATTTTGTTGAGGTTCTTCTTTTCTTTCCACGTGCAGAATCAAGACCTGCATGTTGCTCTCGTAATTCAAACCCTCCTCGCTCCCTTTGCATTTGCTGGGTGTGGCGCAGTTGGTGACAGTACGATTGAACAGTTGTCAGCAACATGCAACGGGCTGTGGCTCTTGCTGTAAGATCCGGGCTGAGAGTCAGGTCAGCACCCGGCGGGGCGGGAAGGGGACCGGGATCATCATATACAGTGGTGCATAAAGATACATGGGGAGATACGGGGGCCTAGAACGGTTCATACATACGTGGGGCTGGTGAATGGAAAAGGCAATGGAAACTACTAATTATAGCGTTTAGGTCTTGGGCTGAAAAATTCGAAGGGCCACTTTGGCTTGCCCATGGTTTTAGGGTTTCCGGTTGAGGCATACATGGCCGAAAGCTTCTGAAACTGGATTTACTGAATTACCGCGAGGCTTCAGATCGTGAACGATCCGCACGTGCTGTTCGGAATGGACGCTGAATCTGTCGGACTCTGAGAATTCTTGGCCTGACCTTTGCAAGGGACAAGGCTTATAATTTGCTGTGCAATGTTAATATTTGTGCTATGCCCTTGATGCTGTAGCAACACCCATCAAGGGCTTGTAGCTGGAAGTCTGCTGCTTCGGTACACTTTCTGCAAATCCAGATGGCGTGTTGGTTTCGTGGTGCCTTGAAAGCCTGCCTCTCTGCAAGACCACCAAAAACGCATTGCAATGCAAAGTAAGAAAGCAGCAACATCCCAAGCTGACAGTTACCCATGCGCAAATGGTAGGGTGGTCTTCTGCCAGATTCCATCATTATATGGACCATAACTGAGAAGCAAATGCAAGATCAAATGGAAACAATGGGTTTCTAGAGATACAGAATTAGGGTGGAGGGATTAGGGTAATAGTGGAAATCATGATGTGGAAGCTGAGGGTTTATAGGGGTGGGAAACAGGATAATAATGCAGAAAAGAACATGGAACACAAAGTAGGAACTGGGAGCTCGTAGGGATTTGTATTTAGGGTTGAGCGATCAGGTTAATACTTGAGAAGCAAATGGCAAAGCGGATGGACAATGCTTTGGAAACTGCGGGTTTGCAGGGATACTATAATTAGTGTTTAGGGATTAGGGAAAATAATGCAGAATCAAATGGACAAGAACATGGACAACTGAAGGAAAACTGAGGGTGATTAGCGATGATGGAGAGCCAAATGGACAAGACAATTGAACGTGACATAGAAGCTACTGTAGAAGTCGAGTTGTTCGAGTCACTCAGCTCCTGGATGCCCAAGACAGCCAGTATGGCTATACCTAAACTACCCTAAATCTGAACCTCTTTACGCTTTCGGCTCAGTCTCATTGCGCCACCACCACTGACTCGCCTACTGATAAGGGTTGAGGGGTTTGGGGGGTTTATGGATAAGGGTTGAGGGGTTTAGGGCCGACAAAGTTTTAGGGTTCAGGGTGAACAAAACAGCACCTGTCAACCTCCTTGCCTGCTGGCACCTCTCCCCAGCAATGAACTCTCCTACACCTCCACTAATTAACCCCACTTTATATGGTATCATGATAATTTGGGTTGGGTTAATGTCGCTATAGTAGAGATGGTTTGTGCGCTGCGCATTCATGAATCGCACAGGGTTCACGCACGAGAACAATATGTTGCGTAACCGCCCGCTGCTTGGATTAGCCTTAGTGTCACATCCTTTTCCCTCGAGTTCACAGTTGGCCGGGGTATGGCCTCAAGAAATCCGCAGCTCCAGCTTCTTGAACGTAGCCCGCTTCAGCAGTTGATATGCAGTGGAGAGATGCAAGCCGAAGCAGGTACAGCCGCAGCCGGCTGGCTCATCGCCAAAGCAGGCAGACATTCGTTCGCACATATGGTTGCACGCTCTGAGCAAGCAAATCTGCTTCTTAGCACCTGCTCGCGGCTATCTTCTCTAAACTGCAGGAGTTTTCTTCGTTTCCTCCACGAACTCCTCTTGCCGAAAGCTGAGCTTGTTGAGGAGATCTTTCTGCAGCAATCTGCTTTCAAGGCTGTGCGCATCTCCAAGTACGTGGCGTTCCATCAGCTGTCTGCGGCAAAGCTGAGAGAGCGCTTATCCGAGCAAGAGCAAGGGAGTAAACATCAGGACCCTGACCAGACCAGCCCAGTAGATCGTTTACGTTTTCTTCACAACTTAGAGTTGAGCTTTGAGGACAATGGCAAAGTCAAGATGCTGGCTGGACGCTCAGCATCACCATCCTTGCTCTGAGCTGTGGGTTATTCTGTTTCTGGACACACGAGCCCACGAGCCGAAAGGTTTACAGCTGCCAGCCTTTCGCGCAATGCGGCGGTCACGGGGATCGTCTGAATGGCATTATCACAGCCTTCCTCCTTGCGGTGCGGGCCTGGGCTAGGTGAGCTCTGCATAGCTCTGCTCATCTCACCCACCTGGAAGCGCGAGTACACAGCAACCTCAATGGCAGCAGCACATGATCTTTCCGGTGAGGTCCTCACTGGTCGGGCTTTCTTCATCGACTCAGAGAGTCCGCTTCCCCTTCAGCTTCTGCTGCAGCCGCGTGGTATTGACTGGCGAGCCAAAGCCTCAAGCTCCTCAAGCTCCTGAAGCCTTCCTGTCTTCAGTCTTCCTTCAGAGTTTACTTTCAATCCTCAAGGTGTATGGAGGCTTGCAGGCCACTGTCAGGTTCCCAGAGCTGTGAGAAACCACACTGCGCAGCTGCAGCATTGCAAGCCCAGGCGGGACTCCGGCATATCTCCTACCACGACAAGCGCTGGCAGTTCGAGGTGTTGAGAAGCTACACATACCCAGTTTCCATTCTCATTTTCCATTTTCAATTGATCTTATACAAATCCACTAGATAATCCTATATAATGCCCATATAACCGCACATGTAATCCCTATATAACCCTCTGTAGATGGAATCGGTCCATCATTGGAACAGGCTGACCTGGGCAAGCTCACCTCCTTTGAGGAAGAGGTTCTTGTCATCAACATGCCGCAAGCATGCAAGCAGCAGACATACAGGGACTCCTGTGGGATTCCATAGGGTTTAGGGTGAAAAGGGGGTATGTGGGGATTCTACCTCCAATAACTGACCATCAACAAGAAAACAAAGATGGAACATGAAATGAAAAAAAAGCTGAGGGTTCTGAGGGGTCATGATATATCTTACCTCAGTTGCTGTAGCAAGAAATAACGGACTGGACCCTTTCACAGCAGCAGCCCCCAAATTTTAGGGTTTAGGGTTCAGGGTTTAGGGTTTAGGGCTGCTAGCCATAGGTAGTAAAACCCTGAAGCCTCAATGCTAAACCTTCCCCACAGCCATACGAACTGTAACTCAAGGAACTATCGCATGATCCGATCCCTGTTCGAGGTTGCTGGGCATTGCTTGTTTTGGGGGTTTCCATGAACAGGGGCCCCTAATCTAGGTCCCAATATACGATAACTCTTATCATCAGTACGCCCATAATTCATGGAACCCCCCCTGTTGCTCTAGGATGACATCCGTTGTAGCTCTGCGTTTCATTGCGCAGCTGCCTCAGGCTCCTGCGCTCAGCAAGGCTTCTCGGAAGCTAGGCACGGGGCAGTTCAAGGGTCGGGCCATGCTTGTGCTTGGTCGTCCGAATGTAGCGCAGGCCTGCCGGGCTCAGCGCCGCCCTTCCTGGCCGCCGAGATCTTTGATGTGTGCGCTGCTTGGGCTGTAGTCGGTTAACGCGATACACCTTGTTCTTGCTATGCCGACATGTCGCGCAGACAGCAGGCTATTTGCGCCCACGCAGCTGCTCCGACAAGAGGTGCATTCTCTTCGCACTGAGCGAGCGCCTGAGCACTTGGATAGCTAAGCGATGCTGGATGATGTAGAAGTGTATATAAGTATATAGTACGATGTGTTGTCTACATTAATCATTCTGCATATCTTAATTATATTACCGTGCAGCTACTGTACCAGACGCTGCTAGTGGAATGACAACCAGACTCCGTGAGATTGTTATCCAGGGCGTTGACGATACTTAAGCTTACTGGCAGTTCGTAGGGAATAGATTAATCTAGTGTTTTTTCAGGGATAATCTATGTATTGCCTCATTCCCGACTATCAGCCAGGAAGCAAGCGTGCTTAAGCCAAGGCTTTCGCTGCTGGGAAATACTAGCTTCATAGCCATTCACTTGCGCTCGAAACTCAGATTGCCCGCAGTTATGCACAGTGAGAGACTCACCCAAAGCACCTTCAAGAAAAGCAAGGAGAAGAAGAGGTAGAGGAAAATGAGCAACAAGCCACCAAGACAGTCGTTCGAAGTCAGGTACGGGGCAGATTGCGTGGGACCCAGCACGTCATGATGGGCCTGACGAGCTGCAGGCGGCATGACAGGTAGTCATTCTGTTGATAGCCAGAGACCTCGCGAGCACGTGGCAGGTTTTTCTGGATTGCGCGAGACAGGCTGAACAGAACCTGGGTGCGGGTCTGAGAAAGCCAGCATGTCTCCACCATGGCTTTCTTGCCTCTGGTTAGCAGGGACTGAAGGAATGGAGAAGAACATGAACATTACTAGAACTATTGAGGATGATGTGGGGATTACTGTAAGGATCCATTCCTTCATTCCTTTCTAACCAGAGGTAAGCTGTGTAAGCTGAAGCCATCAGCTTTCATTTTACTTTCTAATCCTTTTTCCACTTGATTGTCCATTACTCAAGGTAGTATCCCTACACGGTCCCCAAAGAATCCCTAAACCCTATACAATCCCTGTGTGATTTTTTCCATTTCATTCTCCATAATCGGGGTGAGGTCCCTGAATTCCCCATTATAATACCCCCAAACCCTAGATCCTGAACCCTTCGCCCTAAACCATACTTCCTTGGGAGACGCCAGGTATGGATTCGCTCCCTTGGCTCCTGGCTACTGACTCGAGTGCCATCGTCGACCAGGCTTCAGAGCTCCCTGAGGCTCTGATGGCAGCAAGAGAAACTACTATAGGGGCCTCAATTCAGGGTCTATGGTTTCCCAAATAATTGCCAGTAGTATGTCCTAGATTCCTGGTAGAGTTATAGTGTGGGGCAACCCACGTAGACTTCAAAATCAAATTGTAAGTATTGAGGCCCCTAAACCCTACCTAAATCCTGAACCCTACGCCCTAAACTCTAAACCCTACAGTGCTCTTTACTGCCTGCTGATGCATGGTTGATGTACGACAGCTTTGTGGCCATGCATCTATCCGAAGGCCAAATCTGGCAAGCTCCGCATTCCCGAGGCTCCACACAGGTTTATGGGGCTCGGGGTTAAGGCCTTAGGGTTTAGGGCTTAGGGGTTTAGGGCCTAGTATTTTAGGGTGTAGGGCTGAGAGCTCAGGGTTTTTGGGCTTAGAGGGCTTAAGGCTTAGGGCTTAGGTTTTTTTTGGGATTTAGGGTTTGAAGTTTCGGGCTTTGCTGCTGCCGTGAAGGCAAGGGGCCGTGTGCACATCGAGCGGTCGGACCTCGAGGAGACGCCTCTCGCCTGACAAAGCCCCCACAACCCTACACCTTAAACCCCCAAAACCCAAAACCCTACACCCAAAACCCCCAAAATCCAAAACCCTACACCCTAAACCGCCAAAACCCTAAACCCTACACCCTAAACCCCCCAAACCCTAAACCCTACACCCAAAACCCCCAAAACCCTNNCCCTAAACCCCCCAAACCCCAAGCCCTAAACCGTAAACCACCAAAACCCCAAACCCTAAACCCCCGAAACCCTAAACCCCCAGACCCTTCGCCTAACGAAGTTTAAACCCTAAACCCTAAACCCCTATTGCAAGGACTTTTATCTACCCTAGGCGTTCTCAACCCATGGGTTCCCCTACAGCCTCTCTGTTGTTCCTGAATAACCCTCAACCCTAAACCCAAAATTCTTGGGGAGCCGGCCCTGACTGGATCTATTCGAGTCTGAGGATTTTTGGATTCAGGCGTTCAATCTCAAGGGTTTGGGGGGAATATTTTAAACCCTACACCTGGAAGCGTGAGAAGACCTCAAGAATTGCCATGGAGGTTTCTTTCTTGGGAGCAGATCAAACAGATTGATGATCCTTGCATATGGTCTTGGCATAGGACCTAACCCAAAACCCTAAACTCAAAGCCCTGAAGTTCTTGCTGAGATTGAGCGGGGCGGCAGCAAACTATGCGGAGTGGATGCTGTTCGGCCGCGCAGCCGCTGTTGCCCTCTGAGCGGAAGATAGCTTGGGTCATTCCTCCTTACAGTTGCCGTGCTTGAAGGGGACTTGCTATTGGGCTACTACAACTTCTGCCCCCTGTTCTGGTAACAGTTACTGCATGGGAGAATGACCTAAAAGATGGTGTAGGCGGTTCTGCTTGCGTGTGTTGATGAGGTGCGCGAATGATTATGTAATGGTTGATCAAGGTTGTCCTGTCAAGAAGTTACTTTGGAGAAACGGCCGCAGAAGTTGGGCGTGTTCGTGTTGCTGGCAAGATTGGAATGCTAAGCAGTAGGGCTGCAGTTGTAAAGAACTTGAAGTAATTTACCATAATATGGGTATATAGCATGTATAACAGGGTAACTTATCTTAAGTTCCTTAACAGCAACCCAGTTTTGGGAAGTTGAGAGACTAGCAGCGATCCTACATGAATGCTCAAAAGGCCATGTAGAGAATCTGCTTCTGTTTGCCAGGACATGCTTATTTCGCACCGGGAGGTGGTTGTGTGCGAATGGATCTGAGTTCCTCCTAGCATCCTCTAGCGTTAGGCGTGGTTTCTGCCCCCTTTGTGCAAAGACGCCACTGTCCTAAGATGGCAGTCGGCTCGCAAGGGGAAGATCCACACCTGCGTGGCATGCAAAGTCCGCGCCACACTCTAGCATATGCGTTGGAACGCAGGGACTTCAAATTGAGACCGCGTACGCAAGCTTGTTGAGATGCTGTGAGCCTGAAGGCGTACGAGAAGCTAATCCACGACGTTATCCAGGGCGTCACTGGGCTGCCATCGGACACGACTTACCTTTAGTTCGCTAGGGCCGCTAGGAATGAAGGAAAGCGAAAGGATCCTTCTAGTAGTCCCTTTGTAGCCCATTGTAGTAGTTTCCATTTCTTTTCCATCTCTCATTCACAGCTAACCAAAGATAAGACGAGTTGCGGACAGCGCAGCTCCAGCAAAGTGCAATAGGAAAGCCACAACTTCGTGCGGCGTGATGAGCTGGAGCAGGCATTTGTTCTCTTCCTGGCTGGGGGGCGGGGTCTCGGCTCTCAGTTTATAGGGGATTATATACAAATAGGGGATATAAAGGGGGATACTACTAGTAGGGATTTAGACCCTATCGGTTCACAATGGCAAGTTGCACTGACTTGATGCTGGGATCTGGCACTTTGAAGGTGCCAATGGCTGCCGCTAAGTACCGATGCAGTAGGGTGAGAGGTCTCTTGAGGGGCAGTGAAGCATCCACAGATGACTGGAGGCATGGCGAATCTTTGATCCGCTGCTCACGACCTTAGAAACAGAGGAGGCCCGAAGTTCTGATGTACCGCGCTCGAGTTGACATGCTAATAAGCGTAGTCTGTGTAGGACTCATTTTTTGTCATAGTATAACCTAAGGACGTCTGAAGAATACTATCTGTATTACAGGTCTGGGGGGGTGGATTGCAGATAAGTTGCCCGCAATTGCATGTTGCCTTGCATGTGCCTGTCAGAATCGAGAGCCGGAGCGCTACGCCTTGGGAAGCCGGGGCCCGCTCAAGGCAGGGACCTGGGGTTTAGGGTTTAGGGTATTAGCGTTTAGGGTTTAGGGTTTAGGGTATATCATCCCAAGATAGCCATAAAAGCCAAAGTTTTGTTTTCAGTTTTCACTTGATCTTCCATTTGATTCTCCACTCTTACTTTTTGCATCCCTCTGTCCATTGTAGTATTTTGTTACTAGTGTTACTACTTTGTTTACTTCTATTACATGATAATAGTGGACGGGGGATTAAATAGGAGGTTATTATGGAGGACGATTATAGAGCTTATGAAGGGGGATACTAGGAGTTTAGACTACAGCTCATATGGTACCTTGTACGATTAGGTAATTTAGGGTTCCACATTCTAGGTCCTTGGTACCTTATACTACTAGATAACGTAGGTTTGGGGCTTAGGGTTCTACAAACCCTAAACCCTAAACCCTAAATCCTCCCAAGGGGTCTGGCCCTAGGCTGATATGCTGATCGACCGCATGGGCTTCAGGCCACAGCTCTCTTTTTCTCACCAAAATTGTTTGGCAACCTCCCCTGCTGTGACTCAGGAGATATACAATCACAGGAGTTCCGGGCTTTGCGGAGGATGACTTCGACTGAGGAGACCTCCTCTGCAATGGATCCCAGTGTCAAGTGCCACGGTTGCAAAGCAACCTTCCCGAGCGTGGCTAAGGGTTCCATTTCACTTCCCAATTCTTTTCGACTTGGTTCTTCGCTGAATCCTGCATAATCTTTGAATGTCCCCATTACCTTTTCAAAGGGGTCTGTGGCGTGTGTGCTGCACAAGTGAAGCCCGTGCTGGTTTCCAAGGCAACGTCTTCGTGATCTTTCAAGCTCAGCACGTGGTGGCTTGGAGCCGCCAGTTGCAGGCGCACTGCTGCATTTATGATGGTCAGGATTTTGCAATTTTTGGTTGCCAGAAAGGCGAGGCCAGGGGAGGGTGGGAGGTTTGGCACCGCTCCCACACAGCAAAAGTATATAACAGGGGTCTAGGATTTAGGGTGACAGTCTGAAGTCGATAATGAGGAAAATATTGTTAGTCTGTTACAGGGATACTATTAATCTATAACAGTCCATAACAAGGATGGTCTTAGTCCATCATAGTCTATACTAGGGATAAAGTTGCTCTAGAATAATCTATAGAAATCATCTATGATAGTCTTGAATGGGGTAATAGTCCTTGATCTATACTTCTGTAGAACAAGGCCAACATGAAGCGCGTGGAGTGTTATATTACAGGTATTATCCAACTGCTACTGAAGTGGGGCATCATCCAAGCTCGGCGCATGAATTGCAAGCTACGAGGAACACAGCCATCCAGGGCCCTTCGTTCACCTGCACCTCCTTCGGGGAAGGATGTCTGCATGTGTCCGGCTGCGCGCGTGCTGGAGGATGTATTACTTCGGCGACACCTGGCCAGCGGTAACGACTGCCAAAATCTGCGTTCACTTTGAGCGCATGTGCTTGAGGCACCTGTCCCGGACTCCGAGCAAGTCTTCAAGCCCAGCGAAGTTTCTCTCACCCAACCCAGAGCCTCCCAGCTGCTACGTGACCACGTGGGGCGGCATCTCATGATGGTCTCACCTTCGTGGATATTTTCCCCCTAAAGTAGCTCGAACATGGGGTATATGGTGGTCTACCTATCATATTCTATTTGAGGGGGACTGTGGCCTTGCAATCACATCTCATGAGCTTGCAATGCCGGTAACCATAGTGCGACCAGAAAATGAAGTCCTGCTCTGCAAGGGAAGCTGTTGTTCCAGGTGTTCGAGACGTATCAGGCCCTCCAGTTGGGGTTTAGGGTTACGGGCCGGGTCATCACTTGATTCCTCGTAATCCCCTGCCCTATATTACAACCCCTTTTGGGAACATTCAACAGTGGGGTGGTGGGTGGGGGCTTTAACTTAGGGGGGAGGGGATTAATCTGTGTTGCCGCTTGCTTTTTACTTTTCGGAGACCACTACTCCATCTGACTCATGCATTGATTGCTCGTCGTGCAACGCGTCATCCTTCATCGCCGAGTCTCAATTCGTATTCGCACCCACCAGGCATGACTTAGTCGGCCTTATCATCATCGTCGTCGTCATCGTCATCACCACCACAGTCACCATTGCATTCATCATTTTGGCTGTTTGGTACGGGTCATGGAGTCACTAGAAGGATCTAGGTAATTCGCCCCTATCATGTAGTAACATCTAGTCTAGCATGCTTGCACTTCTGTTCACACCACCACGGTCATCCTACCATTAGGGTCCGCACTGCTTGTCATCTGTCTCTTATCGTCAACCATGTCCAGTCCTCAGCCCAGTAATGTCTTCCAACCATTAGTGTCACGTTTGCTATTTTATCATCATTGTCAAAGCTTCCACCCAGGCATTTCGATCATTGCCAGGGTCAGCAGCACGGTCATACATGGCCATGGCCATCAGCGCTGTCCGCACCATTATGAACTGAAATAAATTGCCAGCACCGCCTTCATCATCAGCTCAGCTCTCACATACCGACATCTGCAGAATCTGTCTTCACCTTGATGTCCATCCTGACAGCGGGGCCAGGTTTCTTCCGCTACTGGCGCAGCTAGTTTCATGTTTGCCATCTTTCAGCAAGTGCTTGCTGTCATTCGTCGCACCTGCCAGCTAAGTCAAGGAGGAGACATATCAGCACACAGCGGTCTTCTGGCGGATTTCTATTTCAGAAAGCATTTGGCTAAAGCAAGCTGACAGGATAGGTTATCTCTCAAGTTCTAAGGGTTGAGCTCTGGACATCAGTCTAGATGCAACATCGAGGTAGAGCGGAGACGGAGAATCCCAGAAAGGGCACCACTGTCATGGCTCCAACAGCCAGCCGTGCCGCCAGCGAATGGGCAGAGAAGCGAAAGGCAAAGGTGCGCTGCCAGCTTTGACCCTCACTTCGGAGCTCCCCATGCATTCACGAAGAGGTTTTGCCGCGGCAAGACGAAGGTAGACACAGCTTGGAAGTTCAATTCAAAAGTGGGCTCTGAAGTCATGAGTACTTGAAGCCAGGTCACAACTGCAGAGATCCAACTTATAACCCCGCATCTGTCTACCTACCGAAAGAGCACCGAGTCTAGAGACAGCCTCTAGGAATTCACAGGCATTTCTTCAGATTTAGATGTGGGTGCTTGTTGTGACTGACAAGGTTGAGGCCGCCAATGCTAAGAAGGCGGCAAAGGAGCAAGGCGAAGTGACCACGGACCACACCTTCAAGCCCAAGATCAGGCGGGAACTCAGAAGGAGGGCGGTGCCACCCTGCATATATGATGGACCCCCAAAATGGACCGTAATTTTCACTTTCCAGACGGAAGTTGATTGACCTTACAGTTGCGCGTCGCTTGACTGTTAATGCGACAGAGGTGCAATCGAATCACCGGCCTAAAGGCTCAAGGCTTCAATTTACCCCAGGTGTGGTGATCAAAGCATTAGCAGAGCCATGGCGGGGCGTCCCATTCCGAACTCCCTGAAGAAGCAGATGCAGAAAGCCACCGTATCCCGGCCTTGCGGGGAGGTCTAACATGTGTGGCTTCTGCAGGAGCATAAGCTTGCATCTCAGGTTAAACACACAGACATGCCGAATGAGATGAAAACGGAGGTGGTTGACATCATTGCAGGCTGGCCTTCCATTTCCTGGAGCAGTGATTTTGCATATGGCAACAGCATGGCAGGTTCGATTGACAAGTTTACTTTGCCCACGGGGGTGAACTTCGAAGGTGCTACCCGAGCAATCAAGGCTTGCTTCCATCCTGCAGGGATGTTTGGCAGTCGAATGTCCATTATCATAACTTCCTTCTAGACGCCTGAATACCTCCTATACACCCCGTGCGCCCATGTACCCCGATATATCCCCATGTAACTGCTCAGCTCTGGTAGGATGCCCTAGACAAGAGTTATGGCTTCAATTGGCATTGTGCAATGGGCAAGGGGCGACAAGGCTGCAATTACAGTCTGGGTCATGCTTGTATTTGGCCAGCAGCCAACATCTGGGGGCAACACTGCATGCTTGGCTTGCGACTCCAAATCTCAGGTTCTGCTTCGATGTCACCGCGCAGAATGGGACTTTGATGCACTGCCTTTCGCTTGCATGTGTGCTTCTGGAGCAGGAGTGAGACGGCAGTGTGCTGCGTACTTCCGAACACGCGCACGGCAACAAGATCTGATATCATGCAGTTGAATCAGCCCATGCCCGTTGCATCCATCTGTCTGAGGCTACTACCAGGGTGAGCTAGCCATTCTGGTGTACAAATGCTGATTCGGCGATGCTTGTTACATCCTGTCCACAGCACCAAAGAAGCCATCTGGGATGCAACAGCACAAGTGATCAACATTCATCAAGAGTTGAAGGGGTATCCTGTCCAGATTAGCCGAGAAGCTCAGCCTACTGCATGCAGATGCATTCCTATGGGGCAAGCCGCCTTGCAAGTCCATGAATTTACACTTCTGTCTCACCTCACATGATCGAGAATATCGGTCGAATGCTTGCTCAAGCAAAAATGAGACGTGGCCATGCCTGAGCAAGCTTTCTCAGTCGTCATGTGCTGCAGCTGCGCAAGCAGGGATGGAGGAGCCCCCCTAGACCCGAAACGCTTAGCACTTACTCTCAAACCTCAGGCAGCTTTGCAACAGGGGTTGGGTTTTGGATTGCTGCATGGCGCGAGGCCTGGCAAGCCAAATCGGTCGGCAAGCTCAATATCTGGAAGTGGCAAGGTATGTGCCTCGCTCGTGTAAATCTTCGCAGCATGGGCACGCCTTTGCCAGGTTTCTCCTCTGTCCAAGCCCGATTTGACTTCCTCGATTCTCAGAAGGCGCAGCCAATAAGCGTTGGGCGAGATCGCAGGACGATCATGCGCCGTGTCCAGTTGGTTGGTGTTCCAATTTCACTGCTGATCCATTGCCCTTCGTATCATATCGTATCTTAACACTTGCCGACGTATTTTGACAGAGCTCGTTTGAGAGGCGTCTGGCAAGTTTGGCTTCTGTCCCCACAGGGTACCAGTTCTGTCTATTGGACTGCATCAGCTAAAGACTTTGCTTTTGTGTTGTTTTTTTCATCCTGTGCTTGCTCACTTATGATTCTTCCTTATCCTATTCCGCGTCTTGTTGTGATGGTAATGGTGCCGGTGCATGTTGCGCTCATCGCCGTTGTGGTTGCGGTAGTGGATCGTCACTGACAAGTTTGTGGTTTTGGCGCAAACAGGTCAACGCGCTAGTGAAAACGCTGCCGAGAAGCATCGATGGAAGAAAGAAAGGGACCGGGGCTGCAGGCAGGTGTGAGGGCGGAGGATGGTGTGCGAGGGAAGCGAAGGGACAAGATGGAGAAGGGGGTCCGCCATTGTCAACTGTCTCGAAGGAGAAGGGAAAATGCCGAGACTCTGCTCCGGTTGTTCTAGACGTTTTAGGCCAAAGGGCAAGGCGAACTCAGGATGTTGCCGTAATGGTCGTGTGATTGTGAACATTCTGTCACTAGTGTTTTCGCATTGTCTTAAGATTAGACAGTCGACCGATCTTCCTCGTTTGCTGGCTGATTATTGCTTGCCTGTTCACGACCTGGCTTTCCGCTGCCTGCCTACCTGCTTCTCCGTCCGTCTACCTGTCTGCCTTCCTATTTTGTTAGATTGTGCCTTTGTTCGCGGTTGCTACTTTCAGTTCTGCCATCCGTTTTGGCTTCTTGTTGCTTGTCGCTTGTCGGCGTGGGCGTTTGCGTGTTTGTATTCGTTCTCACGCTTTGCCTAGCGATCCCATACTGCCCGCAGGTTGCGATCATTGATTTTGTGGTATTTGCTTTCTGCATTTCCTGTCTTTGTGTGGCTGCTGGAGATCCCTAGCACCCCGCTGACCTTATTCAATGATACTGTTATTGGGGTCAGTCAGCTATTCAAGGTTTCTGATTTGCTCTCCCTTTAATCCCCACCGCGCAGTATACAAGATAGCCGATTGAAGCCTGAAGAACCTGGATCACACCAGTTCTCAAGGGCTGCAGCAGGGAATCCTAGAAGGGTCTCCTAGCCTGACTATCTCATATGACCCTTGGATGGTGCATATATACCTACATACATACACACATACCCTTTGTAGCCAGATAGTCCCATATTGCCCCCATGAAGCTACAGGAGTCCCGATTAAACGTCTCTCCTACAGCCCCCAGAAGCTCATCATCCCTCTTGGGTTAGACATTCAGAGGGTTTTTTGCTGACTGGATATGTGATGGGTTAGGGTTTAAAAGGGTGCATGGTTTAGGGTTGTGTTTGTTTGGGTTTAGGGTTTTAGGATTTGGGGTTTGGGGGTTTAGGGTTTTGGGCTGCAGGAAGCGCTGGGTCCTCCCCATTGCTGCAGCCAAGCCATTCCACAACCCGGCCAAGCCCAGCCTCCAAAAGGGCTTGGGGTTTAGGGTCTAGGGTTTAGGGCTTAGGGTTTGGGTTTTTGGGCTTAGGGTTTAGGGCTTAGGGTTTAGGGTTCAGGGGTGATCTTTGGGTGAAACAGCAGTTTCAATGTTTTCCTTTTCTTGTTCATTTGGTTCTCCATTGTTTCACTAAACTCTCTGTATTTTCTATGTATCTCCAAATACCCCCAAGTGCCCATTCATTTTTCATGATAGTGTGCGACACGTGAATGTTGCAACTCTTTAAATGTCGGACCCTCTTCTCAAGGAAATCAGGGTCAGGATGAAGGTAGAGGTAGCTGCCTTGCTATGGTTCTTGCGCCTCTTTGAGAAAGCTGGGCATAATCCGGGGCCAGTGGCAGCTACGTATCAGTGCGAGGTTACCTGCGTGTGTTCACTGGGGGAGAGTACGAATCTGATTCTGCTTCTGTGTGGCATTGTGGTTGCCTTGGTGGTGGCTGTTATTCTTTTGACTTGTGCCTTGGTGACGGCTGGAGGTAAGCAAGATCATGAGACGATTTCTCCCAGGCGAAAAGGCAGAGGTTTTGTCCAGATGCCTGCCCGGTCAACGTGTTGCTGCATACTTCAATGATGAGCGGATGTATCACGAGCGTATCCTACTCTGGAAAAGTGATGGCATGAAATGGGCTATCTTGACTCCAGACGACGATGTATACCTAGAGGACTTTTCGGGGTATGGGGATCCTGGATGTGATTCGTTCAAGGTGAAGGGCGAACATTTTACTTACTGGAGCAGGGTGGGCGGCGCTGCCTACAGGTTTAGTCAGGAGATCTCGGATGACATCCTGAGAGAGAAGATTGGCGAAGCGCTCGAGTGTCTTGGAGGCGAGGTTCATGGACCACAGGCGTGGAGACCCAGCGGGATACAGCTGCAAGACGGAAGTATCGCCGATACTTCTGTTTTCTTGGGTAGGTTGCTGGTTCCTCGGCGACTCACTGGAAAAGGGCCTGGGCTGCGCCCTGGGAATGATGCAACGGGGCCAGCTGCTTTGCCCTCAGCTGTCGGTGCGGTGCAGCCAGCGCCCGAGGGGTTTGTTTGGGTTGCTGCCGAGCCACTTGAAGGTCTGGTGCTTGGACAGGAAGTTAGCATTACACCGTCTACCGACGTGCAGCTTGGCAGTAGAACGGCTATGCTTAAAAGAGGGCAGCAGTGGGTCAAGGCCGAACTGGTGAAGCTGGAGGATTGCGCTGACTTTGCCGATCGGAGGCGGAGCTTGTTTGGTCAGGTCACGGTGCCCGGCCCTCCGACTACTGATCGGACCAGGGCGTTGGACTTGGTTGCGGAGGAGGCACCGAAGGCTAGAGCTGAAGATGAGATCCGCACCCTGTACGTCGATGGTTCAAGAGGTGGAGGGACGTCTGCAAAGAGTCGTTCTCTCCTGTCCTGGACGACAAGCCGATAGATGGGCCGCTGACCGCCTTGCGTTTCATCAAACACGCAGAAAGACATGGTGGCGATGTGAGGCAGTGGCTGCAGCTTTGGTGCCGTAGCAAGCATATCGAAACAACTGACCGGGTGTATCACGAGCTTAAGGTCCTCACCGATTCTCTCCACTATGCTGGATGCCACGATCAACTCAACATACCAGCCCTCATCTCGATGGAGCTGCTGTGTAGGCGTGTGCAATCAATAGTGGAGGCCTATACAAATCCTGCGCGACCGACCTGGGAGCATGCAAAGGTGTTCCAGGGCCAAGGGTCACCGGAGGACATTGTGAGCCCAGTCTTCAGGACATACGCTGCCAAGAAGAATAAGGAAGAGCTTGAGCTTTTGCAGGCACGTCAGAAAGTGCGGGAGCTTCGTGGTTCTCCTTTGATCGCCGTTGAAGAGGGTAGTGCTGATGCAGCGGAGAGTGGAGCGCAAAAGCCCCCCAAAGGCCCGAAGAAAGGGCGTGGCAGGGGGCAAGAGGCCAATTCAGATTGAGGGTGCGCAGGTGGTTGCCTTCGCTGCTTGCGCCAGACATGACAGAAGGCCGCTTGGGAGGAGCCTATCAACCGGGAGCCGCTGCTTGGCCAAATCGTGCTGAGAGACAGTTGTTCCCCCTCCCTCGTTTTGCATGCCCGCCGAAGTTGCAGAGTGTGAGCCGTACAGTGCAGCAGAGGCGGTCTAGAATTAGACAGGTGGTATCAAATTGCAATGAAGTGATTGATGCCTTTAATTGGATGGCTGGTGCTGGGCAAGGTGATCTCCCTGGTTCCCCTAGTCCGATGCAACTTCAGGCCATGGCACGTGTGGAAGGTCTGGTCCGAGATCAGAAGCCCAGTGGTGCGGTAGCTTTGCCGGAGGAAGCACTTCGTTCGCTTCTCCGTGGAGGCGCTCCCTATGACTGGAAGCCCTCGAGCGAGACTCTTGCCTCTTACCAAGCCGACCTCGTTTCTATTCCTGATGATGTTAGCGGCTGTCCTCAACTTACTGAAGTTCTGCCGCCTGACGACTGTCGGTACCTGGAAGAGCAATCAGAGCTGATGCTATCTGAGTGTAGTAGTGCAGATGAGGGTGTTGGGCCGTTCTGGGATCCCGCCTTGAGGTTCAATAAGAAGTGCTATAATGACTTGGTCCTTCGCCTCCATAGGATCGGCTACTTTCAGTACACCACTCAGCCGCGATGCAGAGTAGGCATTTTCTTTGTCTGGACGTCATCCCGGACCCGCCTCAGGATGATCACCGATGCCAGGTTGTCCAATCTTCGGTTCAAGGCGGCTCCAGGGGTGTCCTTGATGACTGCGGAGTCTTTTGGCCGTTTTGAGGTTGAGTTCGATGGGGAGATCTTTGCCGACCCCGAGGTGATTTCCAAATTCACTGCCTTTGTTGGGTTGAGTGATGTCAAGGATTGTTTGCATAGGCTGCGGGTTCCCCTGTGGCTGGCTCGATATTTTGCTTGGGAGGCGGTGCGCGCCAAGACGGTCGGCCTTGAGAACACGTTCGTCGATGGGAAGTTTGTTGGGCCCCTAGATGCCGTCTACCCATGCGCTGGTTCGCTTTGTCAAGGTTTTTCTTGGAGTCTGTGCCTGGCTCAAAAAGCGAATGAATACCTCTCCAAGTCGACCCCTTTGCTGGCCCAGGCTCGTCTGCTGCATGATCGAGGTGACCCTTTAGTTCTTCATGTGGGGCAAGTTACGCAGGAGGCTGGTCATTTCTACATATATGTTGATAACCTGGGTGTGATTGGGGCTGATCGCGACCAGATTGTGGAGGCCATGGATGCTCTTCGGCAGAAGTTCGATGGTCTGGGCCTTGATCTTCACGGCAGCGAGGTCAGTAGTGGCTGTGTGGAAGCTTTGGGTTGCATCGTTGAGGGCAACAAGCTGCGGAGTCGAATCACAGTTGAGCGCCTGTGGAAGGTACATCAAGGAGTCGAAGGATTGCTACGACGTCGAAGATGTTCGGGTCGGGCACTTGAGATCGTAGTCGGCCATCTCACCTTCTGCGGACTTATGTGCAGGACATCCTTGAGTATCCTTCATAGCGTATATGCTTTCATACAAAAATTCCGTGACTCTGTGGGACAACTGTGGCCTTCCATCATTCGTGAACTCAGGGCATTCAAGGGCATCCTCTTCTTACTCGTGCAGGATTGGTGGAGACCCTGGAATCGCATGGTGCTGTCAAGCGACGCAAGCCCTCATGGTTATGGAGTGTGTCAAGCTTGGTGGCCCAGATGTCAGGTTGCAGAATGTGGACGCCAGTCAGAAAGGGCTCGATTCAGGCGGGTGTCATCTCATTCAGCGCGGGAGAGTGCGCTGCAGAGTGCAGGGTTCATGAACGACCAACATGGCAGGTGGACAAATCCTCATGGTGATGAGTGTCAGGATGCTCTGGCTCAGGCTGGGTGGAGCATAGATGATGGGTTCAAGGAAGTTCCGTCCGGGGGTTTGGTTCGGAGGTTGTGGCACTCCACTATGCACGGCAGATGGGCGTATACTGAAGACATCCTGGTACTTGAGGCGCGTGCAGTTTTGAAAGGCATCAAAAGAGCATTGTTGACTCGGTATGGTCACGATATTCGGCAACTAGCCCTTTGCGACAACCTTGCTGCTGTGCTCACCTTTGAACGCTGCCGTTCCCGAAATTATTATCAGGTGCTCAAAGTCCTTCGCCAGTTTGGGGCTTTCTGTTTTGCACGGAACGTTCGGGTGTCTATTCGTTGGATACCTTCAGAACTGAACATTTCTGATGAAGGTTCGCGGTTAGCTGAGGGTGCCAATGAATCAAAGTTGTTGGTTGACCTCCTTGGGGACACATGGGCTGCTGACTTTGTTGCTGATGAGGGTGGACCAGTGATACCAATCAGCTGTGATACGGAGGTTGTGCACCATGGGTCCCAAAAGGACTCGAACACTGCCAATGCCCAACACGGAGGGGGCCTCACCGCCTACAAAGCACGTGGCCAGCAGAAAAAGGACCTTGAGTGGAGTCAAGGACGAGGACCAGAGTGTTCCTGCGAAAGGTCGTCAAAGAAATCGCCAGCTGCGAGGGGATGGTCTCGGGCTCCGATTGTCGGAGCAACCACTGGAGTCAATGAGACTCCCGGAAACCGAGACACAGCTCCACAAAGTAGAGGCGGTGAAGTTGACGAAGCCAGACGGTTGCGAAGAGAGCGAGAGCACTTCGTCAGAGTTCAAGGCAGGGAGAGAAGGAGAAAGAAGTCGTTCCTTGAGAAGCAGGCCAAGGCGAGGGCTACAGCGGTTTGTGGACTCGCGCCTTCAGGGGACTACAAGCCACGGCCTGCTAGAGGAGGCCGCAGTCTCGGTGAAGGTGAGGGAGGCTTACTCGAGACACTCGAGACGACTCCGCGAGCTGCAGTCCTTTGTGAAAGCGGCGAAGATGGCCTTCCAGATGGACGACCAGATCGACCAGGCACTGGTGGACTTTTTCAACACGAAGTTCAAGGAAGGAGAGGGAAGCTCACTGGGGGATTACACCCTCGCGGCGCTGATGGACAAGTTTCCACAATTTGGACGGCTGGGGAACCGGAAGATTCCTCGCGCGGTGCCTTCAGGGCTGGAGGAAATTGTGTCCCTCTCGCTCGAGGCTTGCCTTTCCGCTGGCGGTTTGGTGCGGCGTGAGTTGGAGGATGGTGGTGCGTGGACATGTCGCCAAAGCTTTGTTCAACCTCCTCCAGGTCTCGACTTACCACCGCCCCGGAACCTTGTTGAAGCTGAGAAAGATGGGATTGGTGAAGCCGACTCGTGGTGTCACGAGCCACTGGTCAGTGGTCACGAGACATTGGATGTCTCCAAGACTGGGACCAAAGACGATTCGGTCCTTGTGGACAACCAGTGGATGGCCTTTGCAGGGTCACTGTTCGAGGAGCTGGCGCGTGGAAACAAGTTGGAGCTCGTGTTCAAGTTCGACTACTCGAGCTACTTGAAGGTTTTCAAGGAAGCGTGCCAGGACCTCAAGCTGGAGTTGGTCCCGTACCAGGCCAGGCACTCGGGCCCTTCCATAGACAGGGCAAAGAACGTCAGGACCCAGGAAGAAGTTCGCAAGCGAGGCAGCTGGCTCAGCCGTCAAAGCGTGGCTCGCTACGAGAAGGCAGGGAGGCTGGCGGCCACCTGGCAGAAGCTGGATCTGGACGTACAGATGGCGTGCCAGGCAGCCGAACAAGAACCGAGTACGCTTACGCCACTTGGTTCCCCATTGACAGAAGTCGGTGACTAAAGTCTGGACGTGCGGCAAGCCTTATAGTCGACGAAGTTCTGGCAGGAACCACGCCTTGCTCGTGTGGGGGTGTTCGACTATCCAAGGCAAACCCTGGGAGTCTAGCTCGTGAATCAGGGTGAGTGCAGCACGCATGCAACTGTTTCCAAGTGCAACCTTTTCCTGGTCTTTGTCACTGAGTTCGGGCAAGCCCCACGGAAACTGTTGTGTACGAATGACACCGGCTCTGTCGCGGGCAATAGAAAAGCTCAAGCACGGAGGAGCAATCATACCTCCAAGAAGAAGTCGCTTTGAGATGTCAAACGTGATCTTTGAAAGCACTTTAGGATTTGTGAGGTCATGATTGCACCCCCATTCTAGCTCCCAGGATCTTGTTTGAAAGCCGAGTGCATTTGCCGCTCTTCCTATTCGACCGGACCCAGCAAAGAAGTCACCGAAGTAAGAGCTTTTTCTCACCGGCCAGGGAGAGGGAAGATGATGCTGAGGGTTGCTCTCGAATATGTCAAGGCAAGCATGGTTTCTGCTCACGTACAGGAGCCAAACACATTCAACTAACTGGCAAGGACACTGCAGGGATCAATTGGACACAGGTTGCTCAGCCGTGTCCTTACCGCCTTTGTCATCGGTTAGTGCGAGCGGCCCTCTCACAGTACATGATCGTGCCGTTTGCTTCTTCATCATCCCGCCCTCCCAGGCCCTGACAACTGCGACTTGGGTGTCTTCGACTTGGGAGGATGGGCGCGCCTGCGCAGCAGTTTCTGGAAACTAAGAGATTGCTGGACGGCAGTATCTCAGTTCACCTGGATAGCTTTGTTTGGACGCGCAAGGAGTTTTCTGAGAAGTGCACCGCTGCATAAAAGAGTGTCTGCATACATGATAGTGTGCGACACGTGAATGTTGCAACTCTTTAAATGTCGGACCCTCTTCTCAGGGAAATCAGGGTCACCCACCCTCCCGCCCAGGATGGGCGCGCCTGCGCAGCAGTTTCTGGAAACTAAGAGATTGCTGGACGGCAGTATCTCAGTTCACCTGGATAGCTTTGCTTGGACGCGCAAGGAGTTTTCTGAGAAGTGCACCGCTGCATAAAAGAGTGTCTGCATACAACTTCCTGTTCCATTTGATTCTTCATGATTGGTATTGTGAAGGATTGTGTTCCCAGGCGGCGGAAAGATCTAAATGTTGAGCTTCTGCTTCGTTGTCTCATGCTAGCCAATGGGTATTCGATAGCATTTTACGTGTTTACTGCTCAACAGTCCTCGCATGTCTTTGTAAGATCTTGCACTTTCTCTTCTTGGAACGCCGTGGGGAGTAAGGTGAGATTACTAAAGGACGAGAACAGCAAATTGGATGTGGGCGTGCGCTTCTGGATTTCTTGAAATAAACACCGACAGAAGTGAGAAGTTGGCTTCTCTTTGCCTTCTGGGTACGAGCAATGCGAAGCGGTAGGATCAGATAATAATCTGCGAAAAAATCGTAGTCGTACTGCAACGTTTTGTTTGCCTGGTTGCTGATGTCAGGTCAGGTGGAGTGAGGCTTGCATGAGTAGCAATCACCAGACCCAGATAGGCCAGACGGGTGATGTATGCGTGCGATCTCTTTTGTAAAGTTTTGCCATTGGCAGCGGGATTTGATCTACTCAGTGAGTTTCCGTTTTTAGTTGCAAGATGACGCGCCATGTGGCCACATGGTTGGATTCAGAAGGTTTACAGTGGGTCGCTTCATGAACATGACCCAGAGGGTACCCAGATATGAGCGCCTGTGGTTGCTTTCGACGAAGCACGACACGTAAAGAGACGATGTTTAGATGGTGACTGTTCCTCAGTGGGGGAAGTAGTCAACTTGCCCTATTATTGACTGTTACTGAGGAGGGCAGGATTGCGATGACTACTTGCCTTCTGTTTAAATGGAGGCGATCGTTGATGATGAGACATTACGCGGATATTGCGCTCTTTGCTCTGGTTGAAGTGTTTACCAGGTCTACCAGTTAAAGGGCACAAGGCCATGTGAGCAAAGCAAAGCATATGGAATCGGACGTATTTGCCGTGCTGGTTGCGCACTTGACTCTACCATTGAGACCTGTGGCGCAGCAACATCAGAAGTCGAGTAAACACGTACAAGTGCTGAACAAGCAAATTTATCGTTACATATCGTGATACTGTTTGGTAGTATTGTTTTGTCATAATGTGGTCATAATGTGATATTGCCCGTGCCAGTACGATATTATTCTACTTTTGTTGTTGTTATTGTTCTTCCACCATAATTGTTGCCATTATTTGCATTAAATTATAAGAACAATTTCTGTCATCAACCTGAACCCCCAAACCCGAAACCCCAAACCCGAAGAGTTCTATGCGCCTTTGTCAGGCGCCCTGGAGACTCCGTGGCAAATCAGAGCCCACCCGAGACTCCAGAGGCTCGTTCCGTCACCATTATAGCTTTGGGTTGAAGGTTTACGGTCCTCTCCCGCTAATGCTAAACCCTCTATTATAATACACCATTATAACATACTACAAACAGGTGGGACTTCACCTCAACTTTAGCACTTCATGGCTTTTTGTGGTTTTTCTGTTGCATATTCAGGGAGCTAAAAAGTTGCGCCTTTGTTAGGGGTTTAAAGAGCAACCAAGAAGTTTGGGATATTCATTCTGTATGCATGGTTTTCTTGGACAGCGCAGCATGCTTTGACACGCTTTGCACCTGGTAGGCCTCTCGAACTCTGCAACCCTTGGGTGCAAGCTCCTCGATGCAAAGGTGGGCCTTGCCAAATTGGAGATTTCAAAGGAAAATCTGAGAAGTGGCACGCCTGCCGGACAGGTCGACACGGCCCCCCTCGAAATCCGCACATGAGATGTGTAAGGCAAAGCACTCAGTACTGGTATTATGAAAGCAAAATGATAGTATAAGGATGGTATTATGCTAGAACAATAATCGCTCACCCTGGTGTATTGACCAGAAAATTGAATCTTGTCAGAAGTGATTAACAGTAATAGTAATAGCAGCAGTACTAGTAGTAGGAGTAGTAAGAATAGTTATGGTAATTATAACGCAGTAAATCGTACATAGTAATAGTAAGCGTAATAGGATTAGGAACAGTAAATAATGCTGCAGCCACGGCTGCTCGGAGAGGCTTGACTACTTGAGGGTCGGGGGACTTAGTAAGTACGTGTTTTTCAATAATGGGGCTAACTGAGGTTACTATGCGGCTTATAGGCCTTATAAGTATACTTACTAAGTCCCCCCGACCCTCAGGATGACAGTCTTGCCCTTCTTCAGCCGAAAACTTACCTCTGGTTAGTAGGGAATGGAAAGTCAAGCAGACAAGAAAATCAAGAAATACGTGGAAAGCGGTTTATCGGGGTATACAGGGTGCAGGTTTTAGGGTTTAGGGAACGGAAAAGAAAGTGGCAACAAATGGAGAATCCAACGAACAAGAATGCGTAACGAGATATGCAAGCCAGGGTTATGTATGGATTATAAAAGGAACATTGCCTCTGGTCAGCAGGAAAGAAACGAATGGAAAACAACATGAGGGCTATTCTCCTTTGGGGCTTATATAAGGACCGCTACAAGGATCCGTTTCTTCATTCCTTGCTAACCACAGGCAAGAAAGGACGACTCTGACCACCGACATAGCTAGGGTATTTCGCACAATGATCCTATATAGAATCTCTTAGAAGGAACCCCACAATCCGCTGTGATCCCTATGGATCCATTGAGGTCCCAGGGTTTCAGAAACCGCCATTTGTTGGCAATCTTGTGCAACTCCACGTTGTCAGTAGTCTGTGAACAGCTGATTGCAATCTGTTATCTCATCGTGCTGGACAGCCCGAATAACCCTAAACCCTCAACTTTGGGTACTGCCCCCACTCTGTAAGCGATGGATTGTGTTTGTACCTTAGTTATATATAGCACTTAACACACCCTTATATAGACTATTGCAGGGGGGGGCAGTACCCAAGCTAAACTTTTAGAAGAACAAGTGACCAAAAGGGGTCGAGTTTGTCCCTGTCTCGGAGGAAGGCCTTCTGCTCCGGCAGACACAGGATGAGGTTCATGGTATTGTTATTCATGATATAGCTGTTCCAAGATGATTATGCATGATTATGGATCTCATCATCATAATTATTCTAATCAATATCGCCCTCTCTCTCTCTCTCTCTCTATTAGCATGTGCCTGAGGACTCTTATGAAATTCTGTGAGGCAAAGCAATATTTCAGCGGCGCTGAGCACCTTTGACTTCCCCACTTGAAGTTGGCAGAATCGTAAGCCATCCTCGCCATTTACTCCAACCATCCGTGTTGCTTTCCATTGCTGGGGGCTAGTATATTGGAGATCTCTATAGATATATATGGAGTAATGGGAAAACAGGAAACGACTATAGTGTACTGAATATACTTGCGGACAGAATCTGCTAGAGCTTTGCTGCCCGCTCTCGCTGCTGGCCCTTCGGAGATTTTCAACACTGCAGGCAAGACATGCGGCAGTCTCGTTTCCTAGCAGATTTTGTCAGCAAGTATATTCAGTATACTATCGTATTATCCATTTTCCACTATCCCCTGTATATAGTCCCCAAATGTGTGATTGACTTGCGCAGCAAGGCTCACGAGAGATCCGGACCGCATCGGGTCGAGCCCCCAGATCAATGCAAGATAAAAGGTCATTATCATGTGGGGTACATTGAGTTACACAGGGTTTGGTCGGTCTAGATCAGGTTGCAAATCGCAGTAAGGTCGTCTAAGTAGGGCACTTAATAATGTGAACCACTTGCTGTCTCAGCTCCGGCACATGAAGCAGCCGTTACTGGATACTTGTGGGGCTGTTTCCGACAGTTGGGGACCCTTTTTTGAGAACCCCTATAGTAGCTGGCTTCATATCTCCTTAGGTCAGTCCTTATTGACCCAAATGGCTCCCCAATTATGTAACCCCCCATGCCATAAGCCCTTTAAACCCTGAATCCTAAAGCCTAGACCATGTTGCAGAGGCACGACCAGCTTCCCTGGCCTTGAGCTCCGAAGGCGGTTTAGGGTTTCAAGGTGTCAGTATTTAAGGCTGTAAGGACTTTCGGAAGTATATATTTGGGGTGTAGGGTTTTCAAAAGCTAGGGGTCCAGTCTAAGGAGTTCCTCTTATCAGGACCAGTGTATTTGGCTTGAGAAAAGGGAGACCCCCCTGTTTTGGAGATAGCCATTGATCAGACAGAACCTTACTCGCTCTGAAAACATTTGCTATTCTTGTAGTGGGTTTTCCATTTACCTGGAGTTACCTGAAGAAAGATCCGCTCATGCAGGTGCGTAAGGGGTAGCTCAGGAAGCAATGTTTGAATCCTGAATTCCTGATGAATTCTGAGAAGCAAGTCAGGCTTCCGAACCCTTGATTTCCTTTCCTGATTTTTAGAGCAGCCAGAAAATGTGCAAAACTGATGACACTGAAAACCTTTGCTATCATTCCAGGGTGTTTTCGATAACCTAAAGAAAGATCCTTGCACGCCATGTCCATAAGGTGTAGCTCAAGGAGCAATGTTTGAGCGTTTAGATTCAAATGAATTTTAATAAGCAATGCAGGTTTTCAGAATCAACATCCTTATCTAGGATTCGAGGTTTCAGAATTCAAGCTCCAGCTTTTAGAACTGCAGGATGTGAAGCTCAACCTCAAACCTGAGCCTTACCAATTTTGAGGGTCTGGAATAGTTTGCTTTAAACCTAGGGTATTTTGGGCCCAAAATTGCTTCTGGCTTTGGAGTTATCTTTGATTACTAATCAGCAGCACGTATTAACCCTCAACCCTAGATTCTAAAATCCTGAAACTCTAAAACCCTAAAGCCCTACGACCCTAAACCCCGAAACCCTAAAGCCCCGCAACGCCCTAAAAACCTAGGACCCTAAACTGCACTGAGCTGGGCAGGAGAGCCTCTACCAGTCAGGCCAGCGAACCCGAAGAAGCAGGTCCCTGTCACAGGGGTTAAGGGTTGCAGGGTCTTCCAATGTTCTCCGCACACCACCATGTGGGACGCGTGTTGTGGCGTGCGCCTACTTTCAGTGCTCCCTCCCAACCCGCCCACCCACACCTCAACCTTGGCAGGTTTAGGGTTACCCAGAACCCACGTGTTGGAGTGTGTGTCTTTTGCCTTGGCCTTTCAAAGCGTTGCCGCAAACTATTCTATGTTCGTCAAGAACATCAGCCTCGCTCAAATCGTGCATCGTACTATGCGCGCACCATCTGGAAGAAAAAACAATCAATCAATAGGTCCAGGCAATGCTTGCGTTCTGGATGGGCATCTCAATCAGATGTAAGAGCCGGGCTTCAGACGGCTACATTCGGCACTTCTATTCGGTGAGATGACCGTAAATAGCATCCAAAGGTTTAGGGGATGCCACCCGTTTGGATCGCCCACCCCAACCAAACAAAAGATTGCGGCTCAATGTTGTGATCCTGAACGAATATAGATCCAGAAGGCATACTACATTCATAGGTTTATCCCATACCTGCAGCCTGGATGGGCTACACCACAAGCCATGGATCCAGGCAATGCTGGCGTTTCGCACAGGCGTCTCAATGACATTTAAAAGCCCGGCTTAACAGTTGCGCCTACCCAGAACCTAGAAGCCAGAACCCAGAACCCAGAACCGAAACCCAGCACCCAGAACCCAGACTCAGAACCCGGAACCCCAAAACCCAGAACCAGAACCCTGAATCCAGAACCCCGAACCCAGAACCCAGACCCAGAACCCAGAATCCAAAGCCTTGCACTAACTTACGGGAACCTCGGGTTTAGGGTCATTCTCTCGCTAGGCCAGCCTGTCTCGCTGGCACGTGCGTTCAAGCTTTCCATGCGTGGGCGGCGCTTACTGCGCGTTCCGGCCCCTCGCAAGGCTCTCGCCTGCTCACTTGGGCTCGCTTAGGGCTGTCGCCACGCTTTGTCGCTCGCCGCTAGCCAAAACAGCTCCCGCGGCTCGCTCCAGTTGAGGGGTTTAGGGTTTAGGGGGTCTAGGGTTTTAGAGTTTGCGGTTTAGGGGTTTAGGGTTTAGGGGTTCAGGGTTTCAGGGTTTAGGGTTTAATTTCAGTACTGCACCAACAATCGCCTAACGGGTTTCTCTTAACATACCACCC